GTGCTTGCAGTTCTAGATTTTCGTGCACCACGCTTTTCTTGTGCAGATTGGGTACGTGACTATTCTGAGATGGTACATCCAGTCTTCAGTGTTCTACGCCAGAGAGGTCGGTCGAGGGCAATTATTTCCCAGTTCTACCAGTCTGTGTTGAGGGACTTTCGCGATGCCTTCAAGCTGTCTTGAAACCGTAGTCTCTGACCTCCAACTGTTCTCTTGCCAGATGCTAATTCCCCATAGAGGAGTTGCTTCGTAATTCTGGTGTCAGACATCCGATACACATGGCCAGCCAGAGTGTGGATAGAGCGGAGAATGGCTCTCTCTAGTACTTCTGTATCAGGGATCTTCCCTTGCCATCGGATATTGAGAATCTTTCTGGGGCGTTTGGTGTGAAAATGGTTCAAGTTCCTTGCATGTCTACTGTAGACAGTTCAGGTTTCACTATCGTAGAGCAGAGTGGCGAGGACCACCGCTTTGTACACTGTGAGTTTAGTTGTGGCCGAGATACCTCTTCTATCCCATACAGTAGGACGCAGCCTCCCAAATGCAGCACTGGCCTTTGCTATGCGTTTGTTGACTTCATCGTCTATATCCACACAACGTGATAGGGAACTGCCAAGATATGTGAAGCTGTCGACTGCAGGTAGTTTTTGTGACCTTGACCTCGATATTTGCTTCAGTATATGGAACACCTGGAGGAGACGGGTACATGACTTCGGTCTTCTTTGTACTTATTGTGGGGCCGAAGTTGTCGCAAGCAGTTGAAAAAAACCCGATTGTGCGTTAAATGCTCACACTGGTGAACAGATGCAACAAAGCATGGACACATTTTCAACTACTAATGCACTCATCGAATACTGCATACATAAACTTAGCTAAGATACATAGCCTTCACTGACTTGAACAGTGAACGCTATGTATCCTAGCTAACATAAACTGGGCTGACATCACCAGTCTTGCCAACAATCAAACGGACTCAAACGCAAACTCACCGAAGCCATTCACATAAAACGCCAAAAGCCCACTATCAGCGGCATTTCATTCCACCCGCTTATGGTGCACTCCTCCACTAAGCGGAATCAACTGAATAAACATCTCCTTTCTAAAATACCCCTTTCATTTGTACATTAGGCTTCTAAGCCTTTCCCTTTGTCAACTCGCTGGCTTTATCAGTTTACTGTCAAGCCATTTGTGTTAATAATGTTGTTTTCTTTGTTACACCCAGTATATATACTTCACCTCCACTTCATGTTACCTTACACGAATCTGTATCGACACGTCGTACTCACCAAATACAGAAGTTGTTATCCATAAAGTTTGTCTATATTGTACTTAAAGAGCCCGAGCGCCTGCAGAGATTAAGGAAATATACTCATGCCAATAATGGTTGTCACCCTTTCAATTTTTTTAATGGAGAGGGGGTGGGGTGTGTGGGGTTGGGGAGGGGGAGGGGGTGAAAACCATTTTGGCATGAGTATGTAATGACAAGCAACCCACTGATTTGGCTAGTGTTTCTCAAATCATTCCAAACGTATAGATGCCACTTTATCTCATATGTGCCACACGTGAAACAGTACATTGCCCTGATGATTTCTGCATCTCGAAATATATTGGAAATGTTTTATGTCTCAGAGTGAAATACGGACTAAAACAGTACATGCATAGCTTCTGTTGAAATAACAATAATTATTTTCATTGACTGCGAATGTTTCACTGTAGGCACTGGGAGCATTCATTGTGATACACTAGTAGTTTTACTGTTCTTCGTCAACAGGCTTTCAATTTCTAATTTTATTGATCAATAATATAATTATTAATTGTTCTCGACCCGATATGGCTGAAATATTGCCGATGTGAAGGTAGATATTAACTCACTCACTCACAACATGTGGTGTCAGAATAATGAGCTGCTTATTAACCGTTTCAGATGTGTCAATATTCTGTCGCCGATAAGTTGTCCTACTTTGTCACAATACTGCCTTTCCTTTGTTCAATCTTGGCAGGTGGTAGTTTAATGATAATGTTAGCATGTCCTTACCACATATTGAGTTGCGCAGTTCTTGACAATAAGCTAGCCGTCACACGCTAAAACTGATCATTCTCGACACAGATGCAATATAAAGATTTTTGGTCACAGTGCCAGATGTTGGCTTTTCTATATAGCTTCATAGAGACGTAGTCTACGTTACACACACATAAGGCGTTATATAATAGGTATATTGATGGATGCTTTTACCTCGTGAGTCTTTGACAATCACAATTTGATTGAGAAAATTGATATCCTCGTTGACATTCAAATTAGCCTGCCAGCTGTATTTCTTAATGCTTTGTGTCATAAATACATACGTCGTCTAGTGCCCTTAGCAATCATTGTTAATCATTTTGGCATCCCAAATATCATGGAATATAATGTGCACTTATTAATCTATCAAAGTACCGAAACGTATTATCTGTAGGCTTTATTGTTATTGGGTGAAACTGTTAAATGAATCTTCGTACAGAATTTCCAGGAAATAGAAACTGAAAATTGCTAGATAACAGGAAAACTAAATTGGGTCAAGATTGCAAACAATTATTTTTTATATACCTGTTTTAAATCATCAGTGTGCAGATCATGTCACTAACATAAAACTGAAAGATGGGGTTGGGTTGGGGGGCACGCGCAAAGTCTCTGAGTCAGCTGAGAATATCCTTCAAAAACATCTAACAATCACTTATCATTAAGTGCAACCAAAGCATTACAAAAAGAACATATTTCCAAACAGCATAACATCACCTTTGGCTGGAGTTCCAAATATTGGACACCGAAAGCTTCTAAGTTAACAAGGAAATGACCCTTGTGTTTTACAATGATGCCTTAATCATCGTCATAATGAAGTTTAGGTTGCTAATTGTTTCCAATATGATTGAGTCAGTGAAATGCTAATATTTACCAAATAAAATTCTAAAGGAGCCTTTTTTCAAGCTAGACATGCTTCATTTAGGGCGTAGGCATTACAGTAAGGGCTGGACGGAAGGGGAAATAATATCGTTATGCGACTATGATACAGACTGGGATAAGATACGGAAAACAAAAAAAAAATTGGACAACAGACCATTGTTTTTTGGGGTCTTTTAATTGTAAATATGGTTCAAATAGCGTAACCTAGTTTTCGATATCCTTCGAATGTACATTTGGTTGAAACTGGAAAATATACATTTATCCCGAGACAAGAACGAATGTTTACTTATAATTCAAAAGTATAACAGCACGAGTATTCATTTTGTCTTTTGTCTTCTACCCGTCCCTACATACGCTCAATCACATGTGTCTCCAGGTCACGGAGAATCGGTGGTTTAGGGGCACGTATTGCAATTCTCGTGCGTTTGCGTGTGTTGTTGACGCAGCATGGCTGCCTTGTAACATCACTATTTGATTATGATTCACAAACACATGTTCATGATATGGTCGGAATCGTGCCACGGATTAACAGACATTTATCATGAAAACAGTTTTTTTTATGTAGGTGGCTTGAAATTCGCTTTACAAAGGCCTACAGGTTCGATCACAATACTTTACGTTTCAAAAGGGTCTTTTCTCTAAGCATGCTCACGTCAAAACTGATTAAAATTTTAATCGCAGATTGATGAATAAGACAATAAAGAGTATGCCAAATCATCGTTACCATGACAACCCTGTGATACTTAAGCTTCAACTTATGTAAGAGAGTAATAAATACAATGCTAGGTATAGCACTACTACTACAGATGATAGTGTATGTCGTACATTTTGATAAGTTGCTTGCAGCGCTATCACTAATCACTGGGTATGTATACAATTATATGTGTGATGGAGGAAAACGTGCGTCGCTACTTTTCTCAGTAATCTGAATGCATGTAACGTGAAACCGGCAGATACTTATAGAAGAAAGTGTTTGCCCTACATGTAACAACGATGTCCTGTATAAAAGGGAAATAATGTGGGGATGAATCACATGTACTTTTATCTGGGCCCGTTTATGATGATACATATTGCGATCTTTCACAATAATCTCTCTGGCTATCAGACTGAGGGTACTATTTAAACATAACCGGTATTTTTCTATTATTGTATTTATACAGTAACATTCTTCGAATTTTCTCCATATACGTCCGCCAGATACATCGCGCACTACCCCTTTCTCTATTGACTTTCTCCAACGAATGTTGCATGTTCGAAGAATCCAGGTCAAAGTAGAAAAGTCTTAAGACTATTCCCTACAATTCTGTAACATACACACTATGTAAACAAACCTCAGGCTACAGACCCGCACCGAATAGTAGAGCGAGTCTCTAATTGGATAATATAGTTGCACGTTAAAAGAGGTGGGAATAATAGAAGACGCTATCCAATCAGAGACTCGCTGTACTAATCGGTGCGGGTCTGTAGCCTGAGGTTTGTTTACTTCCGGGCATATGTCCTGACTTCGTCCGAGAATGAACGGCAAAATTATTGAAAGCTTTAAATGGGAATAAAATCATCAGGTTTGTGATACGCAAGGTACTTTACAGAGGTCAACTGAGTATAAATTGTGCAGTTTTTTCAACGGTCAAAGCGATGGAAGCGTTTGTCAGAACAAAACCGAACCGAGCCGAGCCGGGCCGCCATTTTGTTTCGATTTACTGACACACCTTTCTTATATCTTATATATATAGGTCATGCTTATAACTATATCAGAGTCGGGCACCTATGGTTTCAGGGTCAGTGTTTTGGTAGGGTATTCATTCTTGGTGTCTCAGAACGCTATATATCGATATTAGTCCGTACTGGTACCCTCCCTCAACCCCAAACAGACGCACACCACAACAGGTCACGCGTCTGTATTATATGTTAGTGTAGTACTGATAATCAACATCATCTTGACAACTCACCTTACCACCTTGCCTGATAGTGAGGATTCATCCTGGCATGCAGTAATATAACAGTTACTTAAAATGGCAGTGTTAAAATTGTTAAACTCATTCACTCATTTGTTTTGTTACAGCATGACAAAAGTGAAAGATCACGATAGAAGACCAAACCTTCACTTCCACCGTACAGGCCTCAACGTATCTGATGAAACGAATACAATGGGCTGGCGCATGCGCACATTCAGCTCCATCCTGAAGGAAAATGGCCACTCGCAGGTAGAAACGCTGCAGTTCAATTTGTCAGAAACAGTTAAATAAACCCCGTTTGTCTGGACAGTAGTGTGCCCGTACTGAATTTTGAGCTGCTGAAATGATGCAAGAAGTATTCATTTTTATCATCCAAAACTGTGTTCCACAGGAGATATCGCTTGTGTGAGATCAAACGATATCTCCTAGGAGATATCGTTTTGACAGTAGATTTTGTACAATGCCCTGACAATGTGATGACGTCATGTACTTAATGACGTCACAATGCTATGACATCGCTGCACTGCAAGTCTAATGGCAGTACCATGTTCAGAGATGAACATTTTTCATTGAAAATTAATGACTGACTGACTGAGTTTAGTTTTCGCCGCTTTTAGCAATATTCCAGCAATATAACGGCGGGGGACACCAGAAATGGGCTTAACACATTGTGCCCATGTGAAAATTAATGAAGAGTGATTTTGAATGATAAATGGAATCTCACCCTCGTGTCTTCTGATATCAAATATATCAACACTCGTTGATAAAGTAAAAATATCCTCGGCAAGCCTCGGGTATTTGTAACTTTATCAACTCGTGTTGATATAACTGATATCAGAAGACACTTGGGTGAGATTCTCTATGTATCCATTGTCCAAACTTTAAGGTGTCCGGAAGCACGGGATTTAGACAAAAAAACCAAGGGAGTTAAAACAGATCACAGTTTACTAATGACTCTTTTTGAAACAGGGACTTCATTATACGATAAGAATGTAAACAATTGTCAGTAGAAATATTGGAAATAAAGTGTTGTAGGGCTCTAGTATAATGCTGGGAGACACCTACTCTGCATTGAAATGTTTTGGAACTTATTTTGTTTATTATTTAGAAACATCTGTTATCTTTCAGGCCGTGATCGACCTACTGAAGATTGACATTGACTATTCCGAATGGTGGGCATTTCCAGAGATGCTGAAAAGCGGGGCTCTGAAAAATGTGAAACAGTTTTGTTTTGAGATTCACGTCAAGCTGAAATCTCACCCAGAGCCGGACATAGACAAGTACCTGAGAGGTCTGGAGCTGCTGAGAGACTTCTATAATGCTGGATTTAGGATATTCCATACAAATAAAAACATGGATGCCAAATACAAGTCAATGTTTGGCATGGAGCGAACAGGTTGCCATGAGATTTACATGGTGCGCAGTGACACACAGACATTTGGGTAAAGATCTGGTGACCAAGCTAACATCTAATGCAATTTGGTAAAAGAGGGTCATTTCAGGTCTCTAAAAAGGTGAAAAAAATATATGTCTGGCATTGGCTATAATTGCTTGTTATTTCATTTATTAGTATTGCATTGACAAATGAGGTTCATCCTAATGCATATTTTCTCCTCCATCCAAAAAGTTGCTTATTTGGCAAAGTATTGATTCTGGATGAAAAGCGGGATTATTATGCAAATTCGATGCAAGTTGTTATGAAAACGTTGTTCTTAGTCTCCAGACAAATGTAATAATCCATAACATTCCTGTAAACGGGGTTTACAACGGAGACCATGTTTATGTCCATGCTTTACTAAGTACAAATTTACCATCTTCGCTTTTAAAGAATCACACATTCCCTCATTCATTTGATCAGTACACCATTCTGCATCATTTGATACTATTCATTTAAACATACTGATCAGTAACAGATCATCAACCATTCTGCATCATTTGGGTTCATTTTCTGATGATCACCATGTTATGATCACCATGTTAGATTTAAACATACTGACTACATAACGTAACGAAAGAATCATACAACCATTTTCAACAAATGTGCTCAAATATATCATTTTCTGATATTTTGGTATCTGTACAGTTTCTTTTTTTATGATCACCATGTTAGATTTAAACATACTGACTACATAACGTAACGAAAGAATCATACAACCATTTTCAACAAATGTGCTCAAATATATCATTTTCTGATATTTTGGTATCTGTACAGTTTCTTTTTTTATGATCACCATGTTAGATTTAAACATATTGACTACATAACGTAACGAAAGAACCAGACAACCGTCTTCTACAATTGTGCTCAAATATATCATATTCTGATACTTTGGTATTTGAATGCATTTCAATCTTCATTGAAACATATGTTTCAACATTATGAATGCATAACGATAGAACCATACTGTACTGAGTTTAGGAAATCACATTTTCTACCCAAAATGTGCTTATTTCTCATAGTCCGAATAATTTTGTTTTATAAATACATTTCATTATTGATTGAAACATGTGATTACGATACGATACATCGTTGTAGGATCATTTGAACATAATGTGAATCTCGAAAATGGCTTTGGCCGTCCATATGTTTATGTGTTTACGATCTCCCTTCAGCCCTGAATTTCGTTCCGACGTGAAATAAGGTTTTCCTATCTCAATTTTTCATGTCGTCTGGAATGATGCACGGATGAGATACAAAAATACTCACACCCTGGCAGAGTTATGAAGGAAGAGAACAGCTTGATCCTTCAGCCTCTACTTGTATTTTTAAACATGTTTCGCAAATCGACTTGATCTACATGATGGTTTATTTAAAGTCTATTAACAAGCCATCCAGATTTTACTATTTACAAATTATGTTGTACAATTAGTGAAATAACAATTTTATTGTTTTTGTTTTTATTTAATCATTTTTGCTTTTCCGCTCTTTTAAACGCTGTGAAAAAAGTGAAAAATGAAAAGGTAGAGATGGTCTTATTCAGCAAATTATAATTTGTGGGAATATACTGAAGTATCACATCACACATCTTCACTTTGAAGATCCTTTTTATAATTGATCTTCTCCAACCCAGGCTTGTCGTGTGAGGCGACAAACGGGATTGGGTGGCCAGGCGCTCCAGGCTGCATATCTCAGTATCTCAATGGCGTATATCGATGCTGGTGGTGTCAATCAGTATAATGACTGGTACAGGTTCGATTATTTGCAGATCGACCTCATATGATTGTTATATTGCTGAGTGCGCCGTTAGAAAAACAAACATCCCATAATGCATTATTTAAATACGCATCTTGCCTATCTTTATCCCTTTTTTACAACATGTATTTTTATTTGACATTTCGGGGTTTGATTTACCTTTAATTTGTACTCCTGGATTTTACAATGGGATGACATGTTAACATTCATGCAGTTATGTGCTGAAGGTGCTAAAGTCTGTGGTACATTTCTTTGTTTGGAATATGATGGCATTTGCATGGGGAATTTTTAGATTAAAGTAAGATTCAATGATTGTTAGCATCTCCAAATTACATATTATATTTTTTTATCGTTTGACATGATGGACCTCTAAAACCTCACCTCATGGATGATGAAAAAAGGGTAAGGCTGCGGGACTTGTAGTCCCGTCTACATACATCCTATTGTGATAGGCAGATACTGCTGAATGTTGGTGACAGGCAAACAAGGCGAAAATAATGCCCTCCAAAACCTACATGTGTCTTACTGCGGGATTTGATGTCGTGTTGTGGGTGTGACGCAGTGTGTTAATTTGAAATCGGTATGTTTTCAGACTGGATGTTTCGGGTTTTATATCAGCAGATTTAGAATGGAATATTTACTACTACTGCTATTGTTGTTGTTGCTGCTGTCATTATAGACCCGGGAAGCTTTGCTTGTCTGGTGGCCTTTGCTTGCTGTCAACAGCCAGGATGTCTAGTGATCGAAATTTAGCTTTTTGTGCGTTCGGAAACATAGTTATCCTTTTAAGTTATTTGCTCTCGATGGATATGTGTTGAATGATGTAATAATGTGAAGGCTGTACTGAGTGTATATGTGTTGAATGATGTAATAATGTGAAGGCTGTACTGAGTGTATATGTGTTGAATGATGTAATAATGTGATATGAGTGTATATGTGTTGAATGATGTAATAATGTGAAGGCTGTACTGAGTGTATATGTGTTGAATGATGTAATAATGTGAAGGCTGTACTGAGTGTATATGTGTTGAATGATGTAATAATGTGAAGGCTGTACTGAGTGTATATGTGTTGAATGATGTAATAATGTGAAGGCTGTACTGAGTGTATATGTGTTGAATGATGTAATAATGTGAAGGCTGTACTGAGTGTATATGTGTTGAATGATGTAATAATGTGAAGGCTGTACTGAATGTATAAATGTTTGATGTTACAAGACTGTACTGAATGGAGGGGTAGAATAAGAGGATAACTTTTTTAAATGACAAAACAAGCCTGCAGCAATGTATTCTTTGTGAAATATCGGTACAAATACTGATTCATACAATATTATAACAGGCAGACAAATAAAAAAATGTAAACACAATAATATTTGTGTTCTGACGAATTTTCAACAATCGTTCCCATTAGTGCCCTTGCTTAACGACTGAATTTTGTCATGGCAGGATTGCGTATGTTTTTAGTTAGAACTAACTATGTTGTATATATACATTTGGGTCTATCTTTGAATGGTGCGACTGTATTTTGTATGTTCAGTTCTGATGTTTGGGTTAATGGTTGAATAAAACTTACCTTTTTCAGCGTCGAGTTGATTTTATTCGAGTATAATATTAAAATCGGTTTTACGCCGAAGTTTTTTAAGGGCTTTTGAGCAGAAGGAATCACCAGATGAAGGCGTTTACGACTTTCGGGAAAGACGGTTATGACGCTGACCGAACTAAGAGAGAGCGCTTTGCGATCATGGCGTTCTAGTACACGAACATCCAGATCATGCCCCAACCAAAAAACCCCAAACAAACAACTGTGCACAGCGAATTGGGTCGCAATCTGTTTTGAAGGTTTTCGGTTCAATTCTCCACATGGGTACAATTTGTGAAGCCCATTTGTGGTGTCCACCGCCGTGATATTGTTGGAATATTGCTTCAAGCGGCATAAAACCATATTTACTCACTTCTTGACTCATTCAAATATTAAACATCATGATAGATCAAATATATGTTATGTTGTATAGTTAGCACAGGCCTAGCTGCTATTGTGAATCTTCCGAAAGCTATCGGCATGTGTCAAGTCGTAAACGTATCTCTTGTCAACAAACAATATACCGTCGTCATCGTAGGGCGAGGAAGGCGAATTGACTGAAATACAAGCCATACAAAAGGTAGCGTCTTGGTATTCGAAATACGATACGGTCTGTCAGTCATCCGAATTCGTTTCCAATGAATGCGAGGAACGCGAATACACAAGATGACTACATGAAGTACAGAATCCTGACCCACCCAACTGTCTTCAGCGTCGCAGTGGTGTACTCCCACTTCGCCTAACTTTAGCCCATTAGATACGGAAAATCCTTTAGGCAATGTGGGTATGTAACGCCCGGATGATTACTAAGGAGTAGGCAAAGTGGGAATAGGAGAGTCCACATGTAGTGGTCAGAGGGGTGTTCAAAGAATGACAAAATGCAAGTGACCTTTTAATACATATTTAATACTATATACACATCATTAACACATGGCCCACTCTGTCCCACTGTCTCAGCCCTCACAAACAAGACTACAACAAGAATGCAAGACTTAATACAGCGCCAATATACTGTCTCTGTTTTATTTCTGTTTACTCGGGACTGCCTCCGTGGTGTATTGGTTAGAGCGTCCGCCCGGAGAGCGGAAGGTCGCGGGTTCGATCCCCGACCGCGTCATACCAAAAGACGTTAAAATATGGTACTTGTTGGTCCCTGCCTGGCGCTCGGCATTAATGGGTACAACAAGGACTGGTCGGCTCGGAGTCAGTATAATGTGTCTGAGTGGGGTATTCATGCTTCACTGCGGCGTGGTATCTCAGTGGGCTAGCACTATAAAACCAGCTTAAGTCCGGGCTAGTACAAGCAGCCGCACATACACATACACACTCATGCACGTCGTCATATGAGCGAAATATTCTCAAGCACGACGTTAAACCCAATTTCACCTCACCTCACCTCTGTTTACTCGGTACTTGTATCCGCCATGATAAGCATGTCGTCCGCCTCGAAGAATGACGAAGATGATGTATGAAAGATACTGACACTTGTACATTTGCCATTGCGATAATGTAGCGTGGTAAACATAACCTGTGTGATATATTTCCACATATCCTGCTCTAAATTCATCTCAAAGTCACATAAAGCTACTTTTACTTCTTTAGCTTAATGTACGCATAGGCGCCCGACTCTGATATAGTTATAAGCATGACCTATATATATAAGATATAAGAAAGGTGTGTCAGTAAATCGAAACAAAATGGCGGCCCGGCTCGGCTCGGTTCGGTTTCGTTCTGACAAACGCTTCCAT